GGCCTCCCTGAGATGGAGGGGGCACCCCAGGATTTTAGGGGGGGGGGAATTTTGGGGGGGAATCCACACCGTTCTCAAAGTCAACGTCCTCCTCCTCCTGCTCCTGGGGGGTCCTCATCTGCTCCAGGGTGGGCTCATCCTCCCCCCCTGGGGGGTACAGTGAGGGGGGGGTTTGGGGGGGCCCTGAGGGTTTCCAGGGTGGGGTTTTGGGGGGGAAGGGGCCGTACCTGGCCAAAAGGGGCAGCTGGAGAGCCCCCCCCGCAGCCCCTCGCCGGGGGGGCCGGGGGGTCTTCGCAGCGACGCCGAGTTGGAGGCCGAGAGCCCCACGTTGGGGAGCAGCTCCTGGGGGGGGTCCCGGGGGGGGCTGGGTGAGCACCCCTGCTCTGGAAACCCCCCCAAAACCCACCTCCCTATTCCCCCCAGGCCCCCACCTCGGTGAAGCCGGTGAGGGCCCCGGTGCGGGGGTCCCGCTCGGCCCGAAGCTCCCCCCCCACCGGGGTGGGCTCCAGGCAGAACAGAGCCCGGGGGTCTGGAGTCCTCTGCCATGTCCTGGGGGGGCACAGAGGGGGGGACGGGACCCCCGAGGGTCACCCCAAAGGTCAGAGATTCCCTCCAGGGTCACCCGGAGAGTCAAGGACCCCCAGGGTCACCCCAAAGGTCAGAGACCCCCCCAAGGGTCAGAGATCCCCCCAGGGTCACCCGGAGAGCCAAGGACCCCCAGGGTCATCCCAAGGGTCAGAGATGCCCCCCCAGGGTCACCCTGAGAGCCAACAACCCCCAGGGTCACCCCAAGGGTCAGAGACCCCCCTCAGGGTCACTCTGAGAGCCAAAGACCCCCAGGGTCACCCCGAAGGTCAGAGACCCCCCCCTCAGGGTCACCCCAGACACTGGGGAGCCCCCAAACCCTCTCTCCCCCCGCCCTGGAACACCCTAAAATCCACCCCACCGCCCACCCTCATCTTTAGGACCCCCCCAACCATCCCCCCCATGGTTTTAGGGCCCCCCCATGATTTTAGGGTCCCTCCAACCGCACCCCCATAGTTTTAGGGTCCCCTCAACCGCACCCTCTTAGTTTTAGGGCTCCCCCTCATGGTTTTAGGGCCCCCCAACCACCCCCCCATGGTTTTAGGGCCCCCCTC